ACTCAAATTTGTATAAGACACCTTTTGGTATGTTTTTGTGTTTCATGTTAAAGCCTATTGTACTTCCTAACTACTAGTTCATGTGTTATAGACTGAATGTCATTGAGGGATATAGCCCTTTCTTAAAGTTATAGAGATGTAGTTCTCTTCCTTATTTTTTGTTCTCTTTACTATCTCCAGTTGGATCGGAGGGGCAATCAATTACATTACGGGCACCTTTATCTGGAAGGTTACAACATATTATTGACTGGAGAAGAAGGAGCTTAATAACTCTAAGAAGAGAACCATTCCAATTTTGAAAACAAACAAAGAAAAAACCCATAAAAGACAAGTTAGATATCTAGAATCTATCCTGAGTGTATTTCTTGAGGTGATGGATTTGAAGTTTAATCCACTTATGTTTAAACTTCATGAGACCATGGAGTATTACTGTTTTTCTCATGCTCTGTCTCTAGCTTCACCAGTACAGGCAGAGAGTATGTGCTCAATAAATATTTCTTGAAAGCTGAAATACATGAATGTATCTGTTATTATCTACACAAACACCCACACGTACACATACATACATAAAAAAAACTCTACATTAAGGTGAAAACAATGCTTTGGTGGAAGTAACTCAATTTCCTTTAGCTTGCCAGTCTTTTCTGATTTTCCTTTATGGAAAAGGAAAAGAATCTTATCCGAGCAGAGAATATCTTTTGAGAACAAAACATTGATGAGATCAGATTGAAAAGAAATTCTGGAGCCCAGGAGGTATATGATAGACTGCTACTGTAGAAGGTGGGAAAAGTGCTCTATCCACAGAGGTTACGCATGCCTAGTGGAGGAGATGCCCCGGGGCAGCCCACAGGGGAATTGACTGGCCTACTGCAGTGGCAGCATTCTGTAGTTTGAATGGAGCATATAACACCTTCTTTCTTAGACCCTACGTTAGGTCGAGAGAAGGCAGCATCTGTCTCCAAGAAGCAGTTAGTGTTGGACCTTGGATGATTGATAGGCCCAGAAAAACAGGTCCCAAGGTACATTGCCAAGCAGGTTTTATCTCTAAGTCCTTCCTACTTAAAACACTGCAGAATGCAAGAGTCAACAACAGCTTCTACTCTCTCTCTCTCGCGTGTGTTTTTTATATTCTGAGGGGTGTGAGGTTTTCTTCCTTGAATTGAACCGGTTTTTTTTGAAAGGGACCATTTGGGGTTCGGATGGTTGAAAACCTTACTTTTTGTTTTTTAACTTTTATTTTTTTTTTTATATTGTAATGAAGCTAGCTAGAGAGTAACATATTAGTTTGGAACAGGTGGATGGAAAATTCTAGGTCACAGATAAAAACAAGCTAATGGGATAGAAAGTATGAATAAAATGTAAGAAATATGAGAACAGACCAAGAAATTCCAAAATCCATTTAATAAGAGGGCATGGAGGATAAGAAGATAGAATGGAGTGGAAGAAATGCTAAACAAAAAAATACTGAGAAATTGTAAAGATATAAGAAAATGAGTTCTCTAATTGAAGGTCTCCATTAAGAGTGTGACAGGAAAAAGCGAAACAAAAATAAATAAATAAAGTTGGCTTCCAAATTCACCAAGATAGAGTAACCCAATCCTCCCAGGCCCTCCTCTTGCATCTAAAAATCTCTGGATTCGGTGCAACAAACAGGCATTACAGGACTCTGAAAGGTGGGGAGAAGAAGGCAGACGGCCCATGCTCCTCAGGACTTGAAGAACTGTGTGGGGCTGAGCTCCCTGGGTTCCCTTAATGCCACATATACCCAAGATGGGTGCTGCAAAATACTGCAATCTAGGACAGAAAAAGGTGTGCCTTTCTGTGCATGTCGTCCTATGCAACATTAACCAAAGAGCTCATCTTGAAATCATCAGAGTCTAGAAGGAGTGGAGAGAGAGAGCTGGGCTGAGAAAGTATTTGAAGAATTTCATCCAAATGTGGCAAAAATATAAACCTACAGATTCAAGAAGCTGAGTAAACCACAAATGGGATAAACCCCAAGAAATCCATGCCCAGACACATTCCAACCAAACTTCTGAAACCTAAAGACAAAGAAAAAATGTTTGAAGCAGGCAGAGAGAAAGCACGTGACTTATAGGGAATACAAATTTCAAACGACAATTTGACAATTCGAGTGACAGTGGATTTTGCCCCTGAAACCATGTAGGCCCAGAAAAAAACAAAAAGCAATGTGGCATAGTATTTTTTAAGTATTTAAAAAAAAAAAAAAAGAGCAATCAACTACAAATTCTACAATTGGCAAAAATATTCTTCCAGAAGGAAGGGAAAATAAAGACACTCTCACACAAAGGACAACGAAGACGATTTGTTGTGAGCAAATCTACATTTAAAGAAGTTCTCTAATCAGAAAGGTAATGATGAAGAAGGAGGTGTCTACCTTCAGAAAGGAAAGAAGATCTGTATGGGTAAAATTAGGGTAACTATAATATACTAGCCTTCTCAGGAATTCCTTAAATAATATTTGAAGTTTGAAGCAAAAATTATGCTACTATCTTATGGCATTCAATGCGTGTAGAGGAAATATTTACAACAGCTGTATTTTACAGGTGGAAATGTAAAATAAATTTCTGCAGTTCACTTGACGTGGTAAATCGCCTGTGCCAGTAGATGGTGATAAGTCACATATGGATATCGTGATATGGATATGAAGAGCAGACACTAAGACAACGGTGCAAAGCGATGTACTCAAAGCACCATAAATAAATCAAGGCCGAATTCTTAAAAGTGTTCAGTTAAATAACAGATGGGCAAGAAAAGAAAAGCATGGGCCGTCCCCGTGGCTTAGCGGTTAAGTGCGTGCGCTCCGCTGCTGGCGGCCTGGGTTTGGATCCTGAGTGCGCACCCACGGACTGCTTCTCCGGCCATGCTGAGGCCGCGTCCCACATACAGCAACTAGAAGGATGTGCAGCTATGACATACAACTATCCACTGGGGCTTTGGGGGAAAAAAAATTAAATTAAAAAAAAAGAAAAGAAAAGCATGGAAATAATAAAGGAAAGAAAACAATAAAATGGAGCCCTATGACGCCAGCGTTACACTAATACTAAAACTACATAAATAAATAAACAATAATTACCCTAAATGTATACCACCAAAATTCATCAATTTTAAGACAGATATTGGCAGAATGGGTATAATGTTAAAACATGGCACACCAATATACTGTCTACAAAATTTTGTTTCAAATACAAGGACATAGGTAGATTGAAAGCAAAAAGATGTAAGAAAGATGCATGCAAACATTGGTTAAAAAAAAAAAGCAGGAGCGGCTATGTTAATACCAGATAAAGAAATTTCAGAGCAAAGAAAATGACTAGAGACAGAGGGGGACAGTGCGTAATGATAAAAAGTCAATCCACTGTGAAGGCATAATAGTTCTAAATGTGTAGTCCCAAAACTTATAGCCTTGAAACACATGAAACAAAAAGTTAAAGAGCTGTGAGTACAAATAGACAAAAACACAATTGTAGTTAGGGATTTCAACATCCCACTCTCAGCAACTGATTGAACGTAAACTCTCAGAAAACAAAGAATGTAGAGAAAGTTTCCCCACTTGATTTAAAAAAATCTATAAAATACCTACAGCTAACTTCATATTAATGGCAAAAGAATAAAGACTTTACCTCTGAGATCACAAGAATTCAAGGGTATTCACTCTCACCACTCTTATTTGACGTATCCTGAAAATTCTACCCAGCAAATAACATAAGAGAAGGAAATAAAAGGCACACATTTTGGAAATGAAGAAAGAATATTGTCCCCATTTGCAGCTGACATGATAGTCTATGTAGAAAAGGTAAAGGAATCTACAAAAAACCTCCTAGAACTACTAAGTGAGTAAAACAAGGTCCAGGATACAAGATCAACACATAAAAATGAATTGAAATGCAGTATACTAGTAAGGGTATGTGAATGTTGAACTTAAAAGTATAAAATCATTAAAATCATTCATTAATTAAAAACTTAGGTGTACAATGAAAAAACATTTTGGGTCTTATATTCTAAAAACCACAAGTGCTGACAAAAAAAATTTAAAAAGACTTCAATGAAGTGGCATGAGGGCACATGTTCATGGATTGGAAGGCTCAACATAGTAAAGAATTTCCCCCAAAACTAATATGCAGGTTTAACTCAATTGCTATCATAATCCCAGCAAGATGTTTTGAAGGCATACACAAGACTATTCTGCAATCTTTATTGAAAGGCAAAAGAACCGATATAGCTACAATAATTTTTAAAAAGAAGAGTAAAGCGAGAGGAATCTCTAACCTATCTCAAGATGTATTATACAGCCACAGTAATCAAGAGTGTATTGTTTTGGCAGAAGAATAAGCATATAATCAGTGGAACAGAATAGAGAATCAAGCAAGTCCTACTAATTTTTGACAAATGTGCCAAAACAATTCAATGGAAGAAGGATAATACTTTCAACAAATGGATACTGTAAAAATTGGATAACTCAGTTTAGAAAAAGTCTATCTCAAACTAAACTTCATACCTTACACAAAAATTAATAGAAAATGGATTGGGGGAATCACTCAGATGGAAAGGAGGATACTTTAGTGGATTTCATAAGCTTTTGGTGTGAAAGAAGTGGGATTTTTACACAGCATTCTGCTCTCATTGATGCAGTAGGTATATGGTGTTGCATAAAGAGAGAGGAGAAGCAATTGGCCCAATCCAGGGTTAAGGAGAACTTCCTTTGGGAGTTGTTTCTTTCCATCAGACCCTATACTTCTTCAGGACTGTAACTCATTTCATAAGGCCTCAGTTTCCTCTAATGGTTTCTAGAACAGAGCAGTGTTTTGTCATGCACACTCAATGGTGCAAGTTAATGGTCTGGTGTTCTGGTTGGCATAGCATTCTCCCCCTCTCTGGTTCATCACCCATGGTAGGCCAGTAAAGGTGACCACTTAGAGTCCTAGCTGTGCAGTGTTCTGGATTCCTCAGGACACAGAGCTTCCTCTCTCCCAGAAGCCATGAATCTCCCGATGCTGACCTTCATTATTTGTGGGTTACTAACTCTGGTGACCAAAGGTAATGGAACCCTAGAATGTAGGGATGATGGAACTAGGATAAGCTGTTGACCTTGAGCTCCCAAGTGTCTTGAGGGGGAAAGAGGCTCCACAGGAAAAGCCTTGGGCCACTAAAGAGCAGCAGAAATGCTCTTCTCATGGCAGCTCCATGTCCCTACTCTCTAAGAACCTGTTGGAGACACCCATCAAGCTGGAGTGTCTTCTGAGACATTTCTCCAAGGCGAGAATTTCCTCAATCTCTGAGCAGCCCTTTCTGTCTGTCTATATAACTAGCCAGTGTTAACTCAGCCTCACTTCACTTTTATTTTAATGATTTCGTTGTTGTACCTATTTCATTGCTGTGTCTTCTTAGCTCAACTCTTACTACTTTCTTGAATTCTCTTTTCATGGAAGTCCCTTCAAGGGAGGCCCTCATTTTTGTCTGAGATATAGTGAACAATTTCATCACACTGTTTGTAGATTCTGCAGAGCTTCCATGAGAAAGAGACAACCTAAGTTTGAGTTAGAAGTGGGGATAAGTTCAGACAGAGTGACCAATAGGGAACTTCTGGTATGAGATCAATATGAATGATCTTCCTCTCTTTAATAATGTTACTTTTGAAAATTATCTACTTTTTATTGAGAAATAATACTTGGAATGGGTAAAAATGATCAAGCGATTGATAGATTTATATGAGTTTAAGAAAAAGTACTTGGGCCGGCCTGGTGGCGCAAGCCGTTAAGTGTGCGCGCTGCGGCAGCCCTGGGTTCGCTGGTTCGGATCCCGGGCCCGCACCAACGCACTGCTTGGCATGCCATGCTGTGGCCGCGTCCCATATAAAGTGGAGGAAGATGGGCATGGATGTTGGCCCACAGCCAGTCTTCCTCAGCAAAAAGAAGCAGATTGGCAAATGTTAGCTCAGGGCCGATCTTCCTCACAGACACACGAAACAAACGTTAAATAAAAACAAAAGAAGAAAAAGTGATCTCCTACCCTAGAATAACAGTTCTTCAGTCTTCTCTTTCAGAATCTCTGAATCAATCAATCCATGTTACCAATTACTTGTATATCCTAGAGATATAAGTATATATACACACACATATACATATCTTGGATTTTCAAAAATCCAATGTAAATGAACCATGTGGATTCTTCTGCAAAGTACTAGCAATATGTTTTCAAGACTTCTTATCAATATATAAACCTACTTCATTATTTTTAATGCATACATAGAACTTATATGGAGGGCGGTGGGTGGATTTCCTTGCTTAGCTTAATTGGTCCCCTACTACTGGAAAACCAGTGGTTAATTATCAGAAACAATTCAGCATGGAAAATTTGTAAACAGATGTATGTCTTTCTATTTATAACTACACACACACACACACACACACACACGATTCTCAAACAACCCACAAAATGGGCTACACTACTTTTTACTCTTATCACTCTTGTGTGAGACTGTAAGCTTCCCACACACTCACCATTATTTTTATCACATTCTTTCCACTATTACATTTTGATGTGTGAAGATGTCTCATTTTTGTTTGAATTCATTGCCCTTTAATTATGAATGAGTTTGAACATATATTCCATTGGATTTCTGAACTCTTCCTTATTGATTTTTAAGAGTCCTTTATGTACTAAGAAAATGGACTCTTTTTAAATTTGGAGATGTTTTGCTTAGAAAGGTATTCACTTCCATTAAATGGACATAAATATGCCTATGATCCTATATCTTGATTCACATGGAGACTTGTTGATTTAGTGAGGTAAAGAATTAACATCTCTGCATAGATTACATCATGTTCACCACCCAAATACTAATTACAACCCATCAGTACATACATGTGCTGAATTATCCCTTTTGCCCTCCTCCCTCCCCACTTCCCCTCTGGTAACCACCAATCCACTATGCAGAAATAGAAGTATAATGATGTACACCTGAAATTTATACAATGTTATAAACCAATGTTACTGCAATAAATAAACAAACAAAAAAAGAATTAACATCTACACTCCATTCTGATTATGAACCATTTGCTGAAATTTTGGGAAGTTTTGAAACAGTAAAGAAGTAAAAATAAGGTTTTGTTCTGTTGCTCTCCCTCAGATTCCTTGGATACCATGTGAATGAAAATACAGAGCCTACTTTTAAATTTTCTATTACTTTGTTAGTATTTTCCCATATACTAAATATTTCCCAAAAACTGAATTTTCAATAATTGAATAAAATTTCATGGAATGGATGCTCTATAAATTATTTATCCAATTTCATAATTGGACATTTATATCATTATTTTTGCTAATAAGTGTATCTATGTTTTATATACAAGAATGTCTATGTAACCATTTTTAGACATAAACCATCCAACGTAAAATTCCTAGAAATGCACCTTATTCCTGTCTGCTTAGTGTACTGTCAATTGCTGAACAGTAGAAATTTTAAAAATAAAGGAAAATATCTAAATGTATAATTTTTTCCATTTCTTTGAGTATGGAGAAGTCAGACTTCAAATATATATTTATTGTGGATTTTAGTTTTTCCACACATTGTATGGTTCTGCCTATTTTTCTCTTTCATTTTGGGGGGTAGTTTGTATTCCTGTTGATTTATAGATTTTCCCTTATAGGTTCTGTTTTGAAATTTAACTATTTAATGTATTTAAGTTTATTTTTGTGTGTTTTCAAGTGAGACAGCATCTGATGGCTTTGCAAAGAAACTGTTTACCAAGCCAAGCTGTCCTTCGGTGGTCTACCGTCAATAGCTATATTTAATTTGATGTTATCTGATTCTATATCTGATATGTTTTAGAGAGAATTCACTCATGGGATAATGTTTTGGCTAGATGGCTCATGTGCCTGAAATAATACAATTGTTATTCATATTTTTTAGTTTTAAGACTTTGAGATATTGGTGATGAGGTCACAATTCCTAACAACATAATAATTCCAGCCTGAGGAGCTTTGGAAAAATGACTGCTGTCATTCTAAAAAAAAAAATACGTTAATTATAGACAATTCCCCATTGCCATCACTGTATTGCTTAAGCCTTATTCTTGGAATTATTTTTGTTACTTTTAGCTGTGACATTCATATCTATCAGGCAGTCTATTTCATCTAACTGCAAATTATGTCCAGAACCAACCAATCTCACCACCTCCACTGCTACCTCTCTGGTTCAAGTGAAGATCTCTGTCACCTGCTGCTGCTGTAGCTTCCTCACAGGTCTCTGTCCTTCTACCCTTGACTCCTGCAGTCTACTGTCAAGACAGCGTAGAGCATGATCCACTCACATTGGAAGTCAGGTTGTGCACCTCTTCTGCTCAAAACTCTGCAATGGCCCCACTTCACTCAGAACAATAACCAGGGTCCTTACAGTGGCCCATCCGGCGTCTATGATCTGGCCCTTATGACCTCTCTCACCTCATCCCCTACTATTCTCGTCCTTGCTCACTTCACTCGAGCCACACTGGCCTCAATGTTCTTCCTCAAACATGCGAGGCTTGCTCAACCCACAGAGCTCTGTTTGTTTCCTCTGCTTAGAATGCACTTGCCCCAGATACTGGTGAGGCTAATTCTTCACCCCCTTCAATCACTGTTTAATTGTCACCTTCTCTCAAGATGTATGCTAACTGCTATTTAAGAAACTGCAATCTGCCCTCATGGCACTCCAAAGAGATTCCACTTACATCTATTCTCTCATTTCTGCAAACCACTTATCACCTTCTCACATACAAGAGAATTTACTTGTTTTCTATTGTTTGCTTTCCCTGCTGGAAAGTAAGTTCCACATGATTTTGTCTGCTTAGTGCACAAATGTTTCTCCAGGGCCTAGAATAGAGTCTGTACCACAGTTAGAGGCTCAAAACTTTGTTAAATGAGGGGCTTGCAAACATGCTCTGTTATTTTCCATTCTTCAAAACAAACCTGAAAAATCCTCCCTTGACCCCATGTCATCCTCCAAGAACTTCTCTATTTCTCTGCTCTTCCTCACAGCTAAACTCCTTAGGAGTATTGTCTCCAGGTGCTACTTGCACTTCCTCTCTCATGCACACTTCAGCCAACTTCACCTTTGTTTCTTTTCTTCCTACCACTCTGCAACTGCTCAAGGTTACCCGTGACACTCATCATGTTAAATACAATGGACACTTCTGACTTTATCTCACTCAACCTCTCAGCAGTATTTGCCTACAAACGTCCACTCATTCCTTTAAGAAACATATTCCTCTCCTGCATAACATAGTCATATCTGATACAAATTTCCTTGTATTCCTTTGGCATTTGCTATTTTCATGCATACCAGCCTGATCCACCACTAGCAGTATCCCCATAGCACAGTTGATTGCTGGCGAAATACCCCTGCACAGGGCAGTCCAGAAATGACTGAGAATTATCAGCTCACTCTGGGATCATCTATCAACTATTGACTGGCAAGATAGTTGGCTGGCAGGATGGTGGATAATGCAGAGTTCCCCATGGGGTTGTGCTCTAGTCAACCACAGTATAACTAACAGTGTCACTCTCCTCTTTGCTTTCTTACTTCCCTAACGTCCTCATTTCCGAACTGACGTTGGGGGCAGGGAATGCCTCTCAACTCAATTATTATACTCAAATTTTTTCCCAAGGTCTGCTTTTGGGAAAACTAACCTAATTCTCTAGTGTCTCATTGTCCTGTTTTGCTCTGACTTAACTGGTTGTTCCTTTTGAGTCTTTTCCTCCTATCTGAGCTCTCGATAATGTCACTGACCATAATTTAATCACGGCCCCCTCTTATCTCACATTATTTCAACTCACTATGCTTTATCCATTACTGTAGTTTTAAATACTATCCATTAGCAATTATTCCAAAATTTACACCTAGAGTCCAAACTTGTCTACTGAGATCCTACAGATCTATCCCACTGCCTTCTTGAGCTCCTAGGTATATTATATGTTACATGTCCCAAAGCAAATACTTAGCCCATCTGTTTCTTTTCTTTCCCAATCTCGTCCTTTCCTCAGTTCACTATTCTGTGAATGGCAAGTATCACTAATCTCCTTTATCTCAATTCAGAGAGGTGGTAATGTGCTTTGATTTCTCCATCTCCCTCTGACCTTGTATCCAAACAATCGACGCCTTAAATCTGTCCTCTTCTTTCCACGACTTTCACCGCCAGTTCCACCCGCCATTGCGTCCTACCCGCCAAACCTCTAACATGTTTCCCTGGTTCTATTCCTTCTTTTTCTAATCTAAATTCCACGTGAAATCCTAACTAACCATCTCAAACATAAAGCAAATTATCTTACATTATGTTTTGAAATAAATAAAAATGCTTAATAATAGCCTAAAGTGACTGGGAGATGACATTGCTACTTCAAGCTCATTTCATCTCATGCTCCTTTGCTCATTGCACATTGCACCTCAGACTCATCAGCTTTCTCCACATACCTTAAAGACACTCTGTAGTTTCTCAGCACTGGGACTGAGCATTGCCGGCCTTTCCTGAGATAATCTCTATCCCCTGTGGACTTTGCTGGCTCCTTTCATCCTTCTTGCCTTGGCTTAAATATCAGCTCTAAGTGTGTCTACACTCTCTCTCCTTTTCTTCCTCCTCCTCCTCGTCATTCTGTCTTTTTTCCATCTCTGTCTCTCTCTTTTTCTCACCCCACCGCACAATTTCCTTGATAGCACATGTCACAATCTTTAATATGCACTTTTAGTTTTCTTTTCTGTCTCTCTCAACTGCTTGTAGTATTTGTTACCACATTACTTTAGATGGCAGTAGTAGCAATTGCCAAATTTTTAAATTAATGTTTATCATGTTGTTGCTAGAGTTAAATACTTGACCTACTTGTTTATTCCTTGCAGCTGGCTGGGGAGTCCGGAGATGTTGGAAGAACAATATAGGACACTGCAGACAAAAATGTTTACATGTTGAAAGGTACAAAGTTCTTTGTATGAACAAGTTATCATGCTGCATTCCCTTAACAAGTAGTGAAGATTACAATCCATGGCCAGTACCTCCCCTAATCCCTACAGAAGAAATAACTGTTGATTTTAATACTGTGGATTTTTTTCCTAATTTCCCCATATCTATGTTTGATGATGCGGTATCCATTAACACACTCGAGCCTGAAGAAAGCACAGTAACTGGGACCACTACTCACCAGACAAAAGTTTCTTCCCAGACTGTGGCACATCTTCTTGAGAGCACTGATGGTACAACTAACTAACGTTTCCTCCTGGGTATGGGACACTGGAGACGACCATTGGGAATAATATCCACGAGACAATTCTACTGATGTTATTTCACTGGGACAATTCTATTGAGGATTGGATGACACGGAGATGGACGTAACGCTTCTGGCAAGACAAGAGCCAAGAGAGTTACCTTACAATTAGAACTGTGTAAAGAAAAGTGTAAAGAAGATACAAGGATTCTCTTTATTGGGCTTAACTCTTTATCTGTCTTCCTCTGATGTATTAAAATGTATGGTCTAATATTTGGTCTCAAGTGAACATTTGTGTGTCTGTGTATTTTTGCATGCCAAAAAAAAAAAAAAATGGAGGTCACAGTTTGGAGCTGCTTTTATGGTTGAGATGAGAATTTTCATTTTAGTAGTGCCTGAACTACTACTATCATATATAGAAGAACCTATGAAGGCACATGAAAAGTTCCAGACAAATCCTCCCTTTCCTGCCCCTACCTTTTATCGTAAGCTTTGATTTCAAATTCTTGTCTGTATCACGAGGTCAAATTTTGTTTAAGGCTTCAACTAGAAACTGACCCAGTTATACTTAGAAACTACCTCATGGAGAACAAACATTGATTTAACCAGATAGAGAGCACATTGCCTTGAGAGCACATTGTGTTAAATTAAAAGCTGCATCACAAATGCTACTTATCTTTCCAATGTTCTTTCCACCCAGAAGTCCAACTTCCATCTATGGTAGTCTCATAGTATGCTCTCCAGATCTCCATTTTTTCCCTGAATGCTAGTTGCATGTAGAGTATCTATGCTTTGTCTGCCTACAAGCATGTGAGTGCTGTTTGTATGGCAACTGATGGGTCAGCAAGTTTACTCTCTGATATCACAGAGAAGCAGTTATTGGCTCCAAGGTTAATTAATTATTAATGTGTTGGGCTAATGCTGAGGTGCTACTGAGAGCCACAGTCCCAGATGCCTAAATGTCTCAGAATCAAGAAGGTTTTTTCCTCTAATTCTTTTTATTTTGTCTAGATCAAGCTACTAGTGACCATGGCTATGGGTTGAATATTGGCCATCAGACCACTGACCTTTCAGTAGCCCTCATATTCCAATAGATCTTAGACCTCCGGTTAGGCTGACAAACCATCCTAGTTTGCCTGAGACTGAGAGTCTTTCCAGAACATGGGAATTAGAGTGCCAAAATCAAGAAAGTCTTTGGCAAACCAGGACAAACCGATCACCTTCTCTCTAGTGTATCTTGGCCTAAATTGCTCTTCTCCATTTCTTTACATCACACAGGTCACATGTCATCTCTTCACAGAGGCATTCTTTCAGCATAAAAACGTCCCCAGACCACTCCTCTGCCTCAACCTAGAGTACTTTTTCTATATCTTTGCCTCAAATGTCATCTCCTTGGAAATAATCCTTGGCCGTGAGACCACTCCTCACGCTACTTTGTAGTATTTCCTTCCTATCACTTAAACTCTTTGAAATTATTTTGTATATATCTTTTCTCTTTTTCTGAGTTATGGAGTTATTTACTTATTTATGGCCTGTCACCACCACCATAATGTACATATAGTCCTAACACCTTGATCTTGGTCATGGCTGTGTCCCAAGCTGCTGGACCAGTGCCTTGCACATGGTAGATGCTCAATAGAAATCTGAGAACCTGTTTTTCCTTGCAGTCATTTCAAGAAATATGAGAAGGTCACACAATCTAAATTGGTAGTCTTCAAACTGGGATACTGGTTACAATATCCAAGATATTCACTTTGATAATTTAAGAGACCCAATTTTTAGACCCTCAACTTCTGAATTACTTAGGATGCTCAGAGCATTCTTAACTGGCTCTTCTTTTCTACCCCCACTTTCTCAATTTTTCTTCTCCCGCTCTGAAAAGAAAACTTATCTTTCACCCATCCTTTAACTAACAATTGAGGATTGCCTAGAGTGGAAAAATCTCCAGTTGTCAACTCAGTGGATAATTGGTGCTGGTGCTCAGAAAGTGAGTAATCATAGACTTTGGATAACAAATTCTTTGGAAATTCAAGTGATTTTCAATTTTTCGTTTACCAAAGCAATAATAGCAGGGAAAATCAAGTAGATCCTTGAAAATAAACCTTAATGATAGCTTACTATGGAATTTTTGGAATATAACTTGAAAGAAGTTAAAAGAACTATGTGATCTATCTATTATCTATCTATCTATCTAATCTATCTATCTATCTGTCATCTATCATCTATCTTCTGCTTAATCTTCCAACTTTCACATCTACCTATTGATATGTATAAGATCTTTCAATGTTTACATTTTTCAAAATAAAAACTGGAAGAAATTTGATGCTTACCTTTATCTCACTCCAGTAAAAAATAATATTCATCTATGTATACATAAACTAATAGAAAGAAAGCACCATCTATTTACTAACAGATGCATTTATAGTAAAACAAAAAGTAATTTTTGGTTAATAATTATCTTTCATGTTTGATAATATATTTATGTGGTTTTAATCAATTTTTTTCTAAATATTGCAGAGATGATTCAGTTTTGAATATGTTGTTAAGCATTTTGAACTTTATGTTGACAATTTCACAATAAAATTATAATATATTTCCATGTTTTGTTGCAGAGAAATAGAATAATCAATAATCAACTTTCAAACATAAAAATATATTCCATTAAGGTCTAATTTTTGTGGGGAGGATGAAGTAAAAACTTAAACTGGTTGAATAAAAGTTTAAAGATGAAAAAATGATGTAATGTTTCTAATTGCTAAAGAAAAGCTTCTTTGCGTATTTATTAAATGGATTATTGCCATTAACAAATTGTTATGCATTCCAATTGAATTGAAATATTAAATTGTAATTTTTACACATCAACTTTTATGATACACCAGTAATTATATCTTTTTATTATTTAAAGTTATGATGAAATATTTTCTCACTTTTAAATTGTGTTGGGAAAAACACACCCTCAAAATTCTAAAAAGTTTGGATATCACTCCTAATACTGACGTAAGGCTTCAAACATTACCTGGTGCACATTGATGATGGTTCTTCCACTACTCTGATCGTCCAGTTTTTCTAAAATTACTTGATATTCCATTTCCATGAATATAGGCTTTCTCCATCATGCAGCATCATAACTTTTGCTTTCTTTTGATAGTTGTCCTTCAGGATCCCCTGGAGCTCAATAAGCCATCACTTCCCAAGTGAGAACTGACCTCCAAATTGCTGCTAACTTCATATATAAAGTTATAAACATAGTATTTGCACTTGGTTCCTTTTTGTATAGTTTCCAGCTCCAGTCTGAAGTTCCCCATCTCCTGAGCCACGCTGTGCATGTTACATATATGATTTGATATGTTAGGTGTATGTATTTCCTCTATTCACTGGGTTTCTTTTTCATTTTAATGGTCATGTCTTCTAAGTATAACAGTTTTAATTTTGATGAAATTCCATTTATCCTTTCTTTTTTTGGTTTTGGTTTTGTTTGTCGTAGGTAAGAAATCTTGTCTAACTCAAGGTCATGAATATTTACTCTCATGTTTTCTTCTGCAGGTTTTATAGTTGTAGCTCTTACATTTAGCTATTTGATCCATTTTAGTTTAATTTTTGTATGACATAACATAGGGGTCCAAATTCCTTCTTCTGCATGTGGTTCTCCAGTTTTCCCAATACTATTTGTGAAAAAGGCTATTCTTTCCTCATTGAATTGTCTTGAAACCCTTGTAGAAAATCAACTTACATAAATATTAGGATTTTTTCCAGGTTCTCAATTCTATTCCATTGTTACATAGGTCTAGCTGTTTTGGAGGTTCCCCAAGACCCCCCTCAGGTTTGATAATTCGCCAGAAAGACTCACCAAGCCCAGAAAAGCTGTTATACTCATGTGTACAATTTATTATGGTTAAAAGATACAAACTGAAATCAGCAAAGGAAAAAGACATGTAGGATGAGTCCAGAAGAAACCAGGTATGAGATTCCAGTTGTCCTCTCCTGGAGGAGTCACAGGACACAGCTAAATTCTCCCAGCCATGATGTGTGACAACATGTGCAAAGTGTTGCCAGTCAAGGAAGCTCACTGGAGCCTTGGTGTCCAGGGTTTTTATTGGGGATGAATCATGTAGGCATGGAGCACTCACAGGACTGAAATCAGCTACTCAGTCTTCAGGCCCCACCTCCAGAGTTCAAACTGATAGGGCTTGACCTAAAAGTCCCAGGTTTACAAAAATGGGTATTCATCATGTATCATATTGCTAGCATAAAATATCTTACATGATTCTAGACTCAGTTGTACAAGACACTTTACAGGCAGGATATTTTAAATGCTCAGAGGTTATTTGCCAGGAACTGGTCAAGGACCAATTCTGATGACTTTTGAAATGTGTGTAATTTGGACAACCACAAGTCTGCTAAGTTAAATCTTTACTGCAGAGTACACACCCATGGCCCTTGACCTAAGCTCTCTTACAGCAAAATGATGCTATTTATCTGAGAATCTACATTTAGTATAGCATTTACATAATAAATTTAGCCATAATATCAGTATGAATATTCCTAACATTTGAAGGAGGCAGTATGTGGTAGGGAAAAACTTAAAGAAACAACTAATATACTCTATTTTCAGATTTTTCTACTAGTTCAATACTTATTTCCCCCTTGATTACTGCTTTCACCTTATGATAAATGTGTTCAAAATTATTTATTATAGAAATTAGTTTATGGTTGGAGAGAGCCGTGAGTGACTATCCCATCTACAATTGCAACAAAAAGAATAAAATACTTAAGAATAAATTTAACCAAGGAGGTGAAAGACCTGTAAACAGAAAACTATAAAACATTTATGAAAGAAATTGAAGACACAAATAAATGGAAAGATATCCTGTGTTCATGGATGGAAGTAGATATTGTTAAATACTGTGCAGCCACTTTGGAAAAAGCATGGAGGCTCCTCAAAAAGTTAAAAATAGAACTACGATATGATCCAGCAATCTCACTTCTGGATATATATCTGAGTG